AATTCAACAACAAAAAAAACATCAAATTTAGATGGTATTGATATAAAAATACCAGGTTTTGGTGAAACATCAACAATTGAATATTTTGATTCATCGGGTTATTCATTTTCATCTTATTTTGCATCTATTATAAGAAGACTTGTTACACTTGGTTATAAACGAGGACTTAATCTACGTGGTGCACCGTAAGAATTTATTTTAAATTAAATTACTAAAAATAAATTTATTCTATAAATGTAGATATGATTTTCGACGAGGTCTTGATGAACAAGATAATTTTTTAATAAATTTAACACAACTTGTTATAGATACTTATGAAAAAAATAATCAAACTAAAATTATATTTATAACACATAGTATGGGAGGTTAGTTAATTATTTTTGTGAAAATAATTTTGATAATTATAAATAATAATAATAAAAAAAAAAATTAATTTAGGTCTATTTGCATTATATTGGCTTCATCAACAAACGAATAGTTTTAAAGAAAAATATATTCATTCAATGATTAATATTGGTACACCATGGGGTGGTGCTATAAAAGCTCTTCGTTTAATGGCTAGTGGTGATAATATTGATGTAAAATATAAACATTATTTTCTTCATCAGATAGTATTAGAAAATGTCTAGACTAGAGAAAATCTAAATTTCGAATTTCAATCCGATGAACTTGTCTACATAGTCTCGAGAATACCATATAAATGAACGATCCTTCTTGTTAGTTAGTACGTTTATTAAATCCGATTTTGAAAATCTGTAGCAGAAAACTCAAACTACGATTATTTTATTCTATATAGATTTTCTTAATAATGACACTTATTTCTTATTCCAGAGGTGCTTAGAATATGGACTCTTAACACCATTGAATATAGTCAGTTTTCGATCAATCTAACTAACGAAAAAAAGTCCCAAAAAATTTTGTTTTGCGTTTTTCTTGAAATTAACTTTTTAAGGAAAAAAAACACGATTTTTGATAGTGTCTTCAATATATTTTGCTTCTCCTGAGCTGTAGAAATAATATTTTTCAAAAGAAAAAAAAAGACACTCCGATAAATTTTTACGAGGGGAAGAGGAACTTCTACCAATTTTTGAGTCTATAATAACTTTCGCTGTATTCATCGAGACCTATGTGTACTGAAAGTTTCATAATTTCAATTCAAAAGCTTTTTAGCATCCGGAAAGATTTTCCTGTCAGTATATTAGAAATAGGCAGGGTTACCATACCCTATCCGACTCTGTCGGCCAAGATAGAGTAATGATAAGAATCTAGTCAAGTAAAGCAATACGAAAATTAACAAAATCATAATACCGATATGTTATCATTCGATTCTTCGACCATAATTTCTGAGCGATGGCAATTATTGTAACGGATCGAAGAAAAAGAAACAGGATGCTATTTTATTATTCATCATTTTCAGAGTGTTCCAAACTAGACTGTGATTAAGAGAAAATGAGAAATAAATTTCGTAGTGGTACATTTTTTTCAGAGAAGTTATACGTTCGCGACGTGACATTAAAAAGAGTGTCATCAGTAACAGGTTAAGATCTTCATGAATAGTTTTTTTTGTTTTTATTTAATCATTCATTTTAGGTTTATGTTGTTTCACCAATTCGTGTTCGTCCTTATCAACGTTCTGCACCATCAACTGCATTTGTTATGCCAAGTATTAATTTTTGGACAAAAGATGAAGTTGTTATTGTTACACCAATACGTAATTATACAGTTTATCAATATAAAGATTTTTTTAATGATATAAAATATCCAATTGGTTATGAATATTGGCTTAATAATAAAAATTTATTAGATGAATTAAAACCACCTGATATTGAATTACATGAAATATATAGTACACATATACCTACACCCGGTGTACTTTTATATAATAATCATTCATTTCCAGATTTACAACCAATTGTTTTACCTGATGATGGTGATGGAACAGTAAATCTAAGAAGTTTACTTGGATTTAAAAATTGGAAAAATAAACAAAAACAAAATATTCATACATTAGAATTACCTGGTGTTGAACATTTAGCTATTTTAAGACATCCAATGACAGTTAATTATGTTGTACAAGTACTTACCGGTCAATTTGATAAAAAATAAATGTTTTTTTTTTTTGTATTTTATTTCTGTATATATACCCCACAGATATTTTTATACTCGCTGATTGTTATTGATATTTATTTATTTTTATAAGATCTGAATTATTGTTTTATATTAACAAATTATTTGTTATCAATAAAATAGTCAAAGCAATATAGCTAAATATTTATATACCTTTATTTTATTTTTGACATAGAATTAAGAATTTTTTTAATATCTATCTGATGATTTATTGGTTTCAATTTTTGAAGAATCATCAAACTCTACTTGAAGAATGAATAATAGTGTGAAACAATTTACTGAGTATGTAATCACTAACAAACCTTCGTTGATAAAGATGTACAATCGAACCGAGTCGTACTAGTTCGTTGTCGATCTCTAGTGCTTTAGTTATAAAAATTTACAATGAATTATTTAATTATAACTCAAGAGAGATGATGATTTGCTCGTTTTATTGTTATTGCACAAGAATTAACGTATAAGTTCGACATGACAATGACATTTATCAGAGGAGCAAATATGATATGCTATTACGTAGTAAAGGCAATGATAAATGTCCAAGTGATTGTACGTGACAAGTATAAATTACTATTTTTTTGTTTCTATTTTTGATATTTGTCATTCATAATCTTCAAATCACATTGATATTTACTAAACGAATAAAAAGATTAATTATTTAATTTTTGCTTAAGACCAGCCCCCGCTCAAAAATCGATCTCAGCTCAGAAATATCTAAACTGCATGAAACTTTCAGGATATGTTGGAATTGATGAGTGATGGTTATGGTAAAATTTTCAGCCCTATATCATGACGTTTGACAGAGATATTCACCAAACAAGGGTCAAAAATAGCTCTATCGTAGCGCCAAGATTTCTCCCCCTTTTTTTAAACTCTTACTTTTTAAGTGAAGAAACGAGATGACAACTTTACTGACTCAAAAACCTCCTAAAAAAATGGCGCTGTTTTTTATAGAGGTGTTTTCTTATATGATAATAAAAAGAACCACGAGAAGGACTAGCCCTAGACATGAGCTTTCAAACAAAGAAAAAGTATATTTGACTTTATTTTTTACTATGATAGAGTTCTGTTGGCGTTACGTCATTGAACCCAGAAATGGCTTGTTTTTCGAATAAGGGGTGACGACAATCTTTCAAAATTTTGGGAAAAAAAGAGATGCCAAATAAAAATTTTGTGTCGCGTATGAAAAGGCAGATGATGGAGCTATTATTTCTCCATGAATTTATCTCAGTTTCGATGATTCTGGCGAAAAGGAAAAGCCTTAACAAGAAATAATTTTTTTAAACTTCTCAATTTTTATTTATTTAACAATAGAAATATTTTAAGACGAAAAAGTAAGTTGAAGAATTTCAATAGATTGAACAATATCTCTATCAATAGAACAAATATTCAAAGATGATTGATCTAAAAAAACAACAAATCCATAATCTTTTTTTTCTTTTTGTAAAATCCAAATATCATACTTAATGCTTGTCGGAATTGATTATATGTTGATTCATTACGAATAGTATTTGCAATATAAGCAGAACATTGTTTATTTATTTGTAAAAGAATTTTAATTACTTTTACTAAACTTTCAATTACTGATGGATCATAAATAACATCTGATTGAAAAGAAAATATTAATCATACGATATATATATATATATAATGATATATTCAATTACCTGTAGCTAAAATAAAATCAAAATAATCTTGTTTATTTTCATCTATTGAATATTGATTCCAATCTAATTCTTCAATTTTAATTTGTTTCTAAATAGAATAAATTATAAATATAGCATTTTTCTATTATTCATATTAAATTACATTAAACTGATCATCGGAAAAATTAAGTAAAATATTTTGTCGTAATAAATTTAAAATCATTGGAGAATAATCAGTAAATGTATATGATAAAATTTTATCTGAATATTTTAATAAAGCTGAACCAAGTAGACCTGATCCAGCACCTAGTTCAATTATACGTCTATAAAACAAAAAAAAAGTCAATAAAAATTATCAAATAATACTTTCTATAATAAATACTTATTTTCTAGAAGATATATTCTTTTCATTAGATAATCACCAAGATATATCGATGCAGGCCAATTCGAAAGACCAGTAAGACCATGACTTAGTAATGCTGTACTTTGTCGATGAATAACACATTGATTATTATCCTAATTTTGTTTTTGTTACACAATGACAAATATGGATTTAAAATTTACATCTTACGCACAAGAATATATATCGTATGACACCAATCTTGTTCACATGATCCTCGACTTGCTAGATCAACTATTATATCATACCATTGACTATTTACTTCAGTATTATTATGTTTTTCGAGCTAAATTTAAAAAAAAATCTCGGATTGATATAATAGAAAAAAGAGAAACGCATTTTATTCCATTTATTATGTACTATCCGTTATATGAGCAATCATAAAAAGTACCTTAAGATTCGAGTATTTCTGAAACTTGTTGACTTTTTTCTTAGTATATCTTCAGACCTTCATTTTTTGAATATTTTCTTCCCTACCATAGCTAAGCTTAAAGTTCTTTCTCTTGCTTAGATATTATCAAACAATCTTACCCATCCAATAATTGTTTTAATAAATGTTTCTCGATATTTAAGACGAAGAGACCAAGAAGTAAATAATGGATTATCGAATGTTTGATTAAGTAAATAATTTTGAAATTCTTCTATAGTATCATTAAATTCTAAATACCATTTCTTTCAAAAATAAAAATAAAAAGAAACATTATTAATAAATATAACTCTTCATCAACTAACTTCGAGTATATCAGATGTTATTTTAATACCTCTTCCATAAAATGCTGCTGGTGTATCATGAATAAACATCTGAAAAATATAAATCTAAATAATAATAAATTTTCTTATTATCATTCAATATTTCATCGAAAATTAGCATTATTTATTAAATTCTTATAATACAATTCGTTGACAAAAATTCATATAAAGTGAAATCCATTTCAATTACAAAAAGAAATAAAAATTAATTATTACCTTCCAAAAATATGTCGTTCTAAGGTATCATCAATCAAATGCTCACTAATTTTTTTCACTTTGATACAGTGTTCAAATCATATCAATCGTTGATTTATATTTAAACTAGTCCTTTACATTGCAGACAATGAATAATTAATCGATAGGTTCGAATTTTGTCCCAAGTTCCTCTCATTAAAATTCTTATTTCTGTGTATATTTGATACACTTCATAGTATTTAGTGCTGTGCATTTTTATTAAAAATTACTTATCAATAGTACGCATTTAAGGTATGGATGAATAGAAGATTCACGCCTGCTCCCATCAGAGGGACATAGATATAGGCAAAATAGTCCCGATCCTGGCGAGGCCAAGTCTAACACTTTTTTCATTGGGAGCAATATCTTTTATGGTCATGTAAAACTTGCGTCGAAATCCTATTCTCATGACTTATGTGTTCTAAAAGTTTATGTGAAAGTTATTGAGTAACAATCATTTCAATATTTGCTATTACAATTTTGGTAATAAAATTAATCCTTTTTCTTGTCGTAAACAACAGAATAGGCATGTTCCATCAAAAACCTAACTCGATAAGGGTACATTTAATTTTGACGTTATCTAGAACTTAAGGATTTTAGGCCATACTCTTTCTTTTGTCTAGCGAACATTTTTGTCCAAAATTCTGGGAAGCAGGTTTTCGGGCCACTGGTCGCAGAAGTTTCTTGCTTCAACAGTCTACAATGATAGAGCAATTAATTCTTCACAAAATGAGATGTCTCCGAGCTCTCTACGATGTTTTTTGATCGAGTCATATCAATTTTAGTGAAAGGCAAAAGCCAATTTTTCGTTTTTTCTCAGAGGAAATTGTAGAAAAAAACAGCTTTGGCTCTTCACTAGAATTGACGTAACTCGACCAAAAAAACATCGTAGAGGACTCGAAAACATCTCATTTTGTGAAGAATTGATTGCTCTATCATTACAGACTGTTAAAACAAAAAACCATTCGCGACTATTGGCCCAAAAGTCAAGGATTTCTATAAAACCTTCTTTCGAGCATTTTGGACAAAAATGTTCGCTCGACAAAAGAAAAAGCATGGTCTAAAATCCTTAAGCTCAAGATAACGCTACATTCGGTCAAAACCGAAAAACGTTACCAGAGACCAACTTACGAATTGAACACACAAACGTATAGAATAGACGAAATACTATTGAATCAAAAAAAAACAAAAAGTAATGAATCTTCAAGAGAGTAGATACTAGAGATCATATCTGATACCTCGAGCTCATTACTACTGCTTGAAAACAATATCGCATTTTTCGCTTATTGCTAAGCACAAAACCAAGACCGGAACAAAAAATGATTGATCCCACTGATTATTAGAGAAGCATCACTTGGCAGTTCTATTGAGTACTTCACTTTTTGCATACAAGTAATAGTTATCTCAAAAGACCACATCACATTGCTCAACGCTCTGTCGTTCTGCTCTGCACTACGTGTTATTGAAAATGTAAGCTGCTAAGTTAAACAGAGTGTATTGACTTTTTATAGGATTTTTTGTTTTATTTTTAAACAAAACAAAAATTTACAATGTTTTAATAAAATTTAAATAATGTTGTATAGATGTTTTTGTAACATATTGACAAAAAAGATCATTTGTTTTTAAACAAAGATCTTTTAATGAAATAAAATTTGGTTTTGTTGGATCAAATTGTTGACGTTTTAAATATTTTAAATATAAACAACGTATACGTAATTGTTGAAAACTTTGTTTAAGTATAGGTGGATAATCAATTAAACGTTGTCGTGTTATATTCATTTCATTATAAAGAAAATCAAAATTTAATTCAATTAATTTATAATCATATATAAATAATTTTGGATATTGATGAAATAATTTTTGTAATTCATTATGTTCAAAACCTAAAAGTTTATTCATATTAAAATATGTATTACTAATATCTTGTAATGGTAAAGTAAGAAGTTTAGGTGAACGTATAATAAATTCATTTATATTATTATGATTTAAATGAAATTTTTTTATAAACCAATTTAATTTTGTTTCAATCATTTTTGTACTTAAATTTAATAAGAATGGTGCACGAATAACTATATCACGAATATTTTCTTGATTAAAACCTTTACTTTCAAGATAATTTATACGTACACGTAAATCATCAAGATTTTCTTTAAATATCCATGGATTATAACTAAGATATTGAGTAAGATCTTTATTTTTAATACCTAATTCATTAAGAAAAACAAGATGTTGAATACAATCACGTTCAAAATTAAGTGTTAAAATATATTTTGCTTTTGAATTTGGTTGATTCCAACGATAAACATCAACACCCATTTCAATAAAACGTTTTAATGTTGATGATTCATTAATTAAATAAGCTAAATCAAATGTAAATGGACGAAGTGATGGATACATTTCATTAATATAAAGTTCAAGAGATTGATGAATATCTTCATCTGTATATAGATCACGTAAATCAGGTTGAATTAATACTTCAAGTGGAATATTTAAACTAAAATAAAGAGAATCTCTATGATTTTTAGATATACAAGTAATTGATACATTTTACGAATACTAATAATAGTATTATTATCGCAAATCGTGTTACAACAAAATTTACATATGAGAAAGATTATTGTTACTAACTGAAGTTGTAATGTTTCATGTATCTTTTTTCACAAGCAAACAGAAATTTGATATTCAGTCATTCTTTGCTTCTTTCTATAGAGTCTTGTAAAAGTTTAACAATGAAATAATTATGATTGACAGATTTATTCTTGTTTCATGTTATTAATAAAAGCTGTAGCAATTCTCCTATAAAACTCTCAGGGCAATTTTTCGAACCACATCAAGGAAAGTATTTTTATTAGTTCAATAAGTTGCAGCTAGTTACTTTCTGATAAAAAACTAGGAATCATTAACTATCATTACATTACCGATATCGAAATTTTGCGAATTTTACCATACACATTCAAATATGCTGAATCAATTTATTTGATTAAGTATCTAACAAGTCATCAATCATTTTTCAAGCTTCAAAATGATTCTCTCAATAGTAACATGACTCAAATCAGTTGATACTTGCTTTATATAAAATTGTAATATAAGAATCATTATCATTGAAATAAGGATTCTATTTAGTAATTACAGACTTACGAGATGATAGTTAATCTTCGATGTCTTCTAAACTTTCAGAAAAATAATCTCAATCATTTCTGAACTGTACTGAAAGATAGAAAATCAAAGACAATAATAGAAATCAAATTAAAGTGAAATGGGCATTCTAATATAGGAAGGAAAATTTTATTGTGATGTCTTATTCTTGATTTATGTATATAGTGCTGTTTGTGAGATATCTGATTAACTCACGTTTCAGTTTTTTTGTTCAATGAAATAGCAGTTGTACTTGGTTTTTCAGTATGATGAGTTGTTAATGATGAAGAAAAAGCTTTTTTATCTGTTCCAAGTATTGTTAAATTATCTTTTTCTTCAGCAAATATATCATTTTCATCATCATCTATAGATTTTTTTGAATGTAATCGATTAATATTATATTTATTAAATCGAGATTTTTTAATATCTAGATCTTCTTCTTTATTTTTATTTTGTTGTAATCGATTTTTAAAATTTGATGAACGTTCAAATTGACGATGTTGATTATTAATTTCATTTATATTTTTTTGTTGTTGTCGATTTAATATAGTTGTTAATGAAAATAAACGACGATTATTAATCGTAATGAAATAAATTGATGAAATTGTTCGTTTTAACATCTAAAAATAATATTACTTTTCTAAAAATTAATATTACTGTAAATTTTTAAAAAATCAATCATTGCATATTTTCAAAACCAATCAACAAACAACATAAATTAATCCAATAGGAATTGAATATTATAATTAAAGAGGGTAGTATATGCTGAAGAAAATATTTGTTACTTTAACAAGGTTCGAACTTGAACATCAAGAAAGTTGAGTCTATCATTGAAAAGAGAACATTTGATAGTATTCGAAATGGAAGTGTTTCTATTTCTGACTTAGCATTGAGTGTTATAAATACGAGGAATTCTTCATCAGATACGTAGTACTCTTTCAACATATGATCTTTCGTACAAATCAAGATAAAAACTTGCTAATATTACTAATTTTCACAACAAAAACCGATTCGTCTACGATGAAAATCAACAAATACCATCGAACGCATATTGCATTACGGAATTTTGTGATTTTTTTAGGTGATTAAGCACGTTTATTTCTCGAGTTGAAAATTTTTTTTTGTTTCGTTGGATTCTAGTGAAGACTCCATCCCAATCTTGAAGAATTTTTCTATTTCTCCAGTAGAGTTCCGGCGGGTTTTTTTTTATCATCAATCTTCTACTTCAAATTCCGGTTAACTACACAAAAGATCTCATAATCGATCCCGTTCGAATCCTGGCAACTTCGAATAATCCCTGCATCGATCATTGTTGTCAGCTGACAACTTCTGAAAAGTTTTCTTAGGCTTTGAAATGGAGAACATAGTGATAAGAAACATATTCTGACTGTCGAAAGTTTTCAAGTATTATGCATTGTTAGCATGGTTTTTTTTTTTCGTCTACTATTTCATATACAAGCAAATTTTTCTTTATTGCAAAACGTTCTTTTCTATCTTCATCAAGATTTCTCAATTCTAAAATTATCGAAATAAAAACTTAATTATACATAAAACAATATATACAAAGACTTTGCCATACAAATAAATGAATATAAATTCTAATTATAACTAATACATTTAGATCATATTCTCGATAATCCTTCATTGTTTAATGGACAGATAGATTAACTTGTACATATTTGTTTTCACACCTTAATACATATGTTCAAATCGTTATATAAATTAAAAGAGGATAGAACAAAGAAAAAAAAAAACATCAAACTATACGATGATATATTTCTTTTTTTTCTTTGTTTGATTACAATAGCATATATCAAGGGATTGAGAATAGACAGCATTCTAATATATATTGATTACATGAACTATTTTCTAGGGAGAAAATAAAAAATGATCAATTATTGAACGTATTCAATGATTCATATGAGAGTTTTAACATTCATTCTAAATTTCTTAGGATGATGATATTCATCTTATCATTCATAGAAAGAAAAAAAAACCACATATCAATATATATAATTTCAAATGTTGACTCACATAGTACAATATAAAATATATTTCCGAATTCGAATTTTGTATAAAAATTCTTGATATTCTATTTATTACAAAAAAATTGTATTAAATTCTTTTTTTCAACTATTAAACATTTGCACTTATTGATCTAAACAATATTTAATTATTCATGTCGAAGGTCAACTCGTTAACCCGGTGACCTTTCTATATATGTATTGGACGGACGTTTCCATCTGACCTCGCACGTTCTTTCTATTCTTTTCTGTTTTTAGATATAGTGAAAAATACGATACACAATACCACAAAAAAAAACAAATGTTATCAATTTACCATTAATCCGATGAATATAAATCTTTTCTAATATTTATTCATATAATCTCTTTTGTTTTTATTCGAAAAATATAATATTGATTCTTGCTTGCTTTTTCTCTCTCTCTCTCTCTTTACATTCATCCATACTGACATTTTGAATCATTTGTATAAGTGTACATTCTCTCTTTTATTCATTCGCTAAAAAAAAAAACAAAAAGCGATTGATATTTTAAAAATGATGACATATATTGTGCTTATTTTGTTATCATTCTAGATCAACATTACTATTATTATTATTATTCTAGGCAATGATGAATCAAACAATAATCATAGTTATTCTTATTGTTATAATTTTATGTATAGAATTCGGTCAAGGTAAAATAAATTTGTTCAATAAATATTAATAATTTATTTTATTATTCTTATTAGGTCTTAGATGTTATCAACATGACTATTGTTTAGGTCGATGTCCAACATTAATATCAAGTACTGTTCAATGTAAACCAGGTTTAGATAAATGTTGGAAATTTACATCACCACTTGGTACAATGCGTGGTTGTGGTAAATTTTTTTTTTAAATTTTTGTTCGTAGTACCATTATATTCTTTATTTATTAAGGTGATCATCGTTGTAAGATACAATTAGATACAGGTATATTTGATACTGCTAGTGTATGTTGTTCAAGTGATCTTTGTAATTCGAGTATTCAAATGAAAATAACAACAATATTTATTATATTAAGCAGCTTGATTGCTTTTATTTATGTGTAGTATAATTAATGATCAAATAACATTGTATATAATTATTGATTATCTTTTTTTTTTTTTTGTATTTCTATCATGTTGAAATTTGTTATTATAATAAAAAAAGAAAAGAAAAGCTAAGATAAATGATTTCTTCTTCCTCTTCTTTTTTTTTTTTTTTTATTCGTGTATGAAACAATGTTTGATGATGAGATGAATATTTGCATATTTAGTAAGAACATGTAGTTCGTCGATGAACAAATTAGATGATAAGAAAGCGTCAGTACTTATTCCTCGAGTTCTGTTAGTTTTAATCAGACCAAGAAAGAAAGAAAGAAGGAAAGAAAGAGAAAAAAAGAACAGATTCCAATGTATCTCTATTCATTTCTATTCACATTATCGGAAGGATGAACCTTCTTCGATGTCTTCTTTATTTCTTTCAGTTGTCTTCTATTTTGTTGCTTCAGACATCGATTATTTTTTATTTTTCTTTTTTCTTTTTTCTTTTGTCATTTGTCTTCGCTCAACAAGTAGTAGATAGACCAGGCCCATAATATAAATTCTATTCGCTGGTGTATGCCTAGAAAATATACATCATACCAAAAGCCCTAAAGAAAGCGAAAAAGAAAAATAGATACGTTCCAAACCAATCTCTCTTCTTCTCTCTCTCTCTCTCTCTCTCTCTCTCCTTTTCTCTTTCTATGATAGAGAAAAAAATATAAATAGAACAGCACACCCACTATTATTTTTTGTGCATTTACGCATTTTTATATCTTAGTTAACAACAGCGAAATCACGAGAATCTTCAACATGAAGTTAGTCATTATTATTGCTATTGTTCTTCTTGGTTGTATTACATTCAATGAAGGTACCATCCTATTAATTTGTTTTTTTTGAAATTTTTTAATTCTTCTTCATTAGCTCTTCAATGTTATTCACATGATACTTGTTCTGCAAATTGTCCACAATTGAGTGAGACAGTTAAAACATGTGGTGGTGATGAAAATAAATGTTATAAAGCAGCATTACCAGTTGGTGTTAGTCGTGGTTGTGCTAGAGAACGATGCAATGTTCAAGTACAGAGATCTATCTTTTCAATAGAATAAAAAAAAAAAAAAACTATTTTTTATTTATCATAGGTCAATGCTAATTCAGTAATGGCTAATGTATGCTGTGAAAAAGATTTATGTAATTCAGCAAGAACATCAAAAATGACAATCAGTGGATTTTTTATGATGATTGGCGCTTTGTTTTTGATTCATATATAAACAATATGATTAAACTATTGTCTTGAATATATTTGAAATAATCTCGCATTTCTTTTTTTTTTCTTTTTTGTTGTCTTTGCGTATTTAGTGTTATATTACATCTATCATAATTGATCTTCTTCTTCTTCTTCTTCTTTTTTTCTTGTATAGAAAAAATAACCATGTAGAATATTTTTAATAAAAACTTTTTCTCTTCATTTATTTTGTTATGATTTTATTAATTAATTCAATTGTACGATAAGAACTTTATATTATTCCAATACAAGAAAAAAAAAATGAGCAATTCTATGTCGCTTCATCACTGTCTGCATTATTTTTGGAAGACATCGCAGTTTTTTTGTTTATATTCTTCTGTATTGCATTCTATTCTATTAGATCTCAATGCATCAAAGAGTCAAGACCCTAGATATAATTATTTTGTCTCTATGTCTTATAGGTCATGTGAATTCAATCAATAATGTCGATAGAATTCTTTCTGATGGAGAAGAAAAACAAAGCCGACTAAAGCATGTCTGCAAATTGCTCAATATTAGGGCGTTTCCATGGGATGTCGCCAGTCAATCCGGCGATCACGTCCAAATTCAGTAAAACTTTCAGGAATTGTAGAGTTTTTTGTGCTGATCATCCTGATTGTAAAATTTTTATATTTGGTCGCTATTTTTAGAGAGATAGAAGTCAAATACTATTGATGCATTTTATATTTTTTTCAATCAATTCAAGTCACATTTTTATAGAAAACCCGATCATAGTGCATGATTATCCATTCGGATGGTAAAACCAATTACATATTTGGATTCCTCTTGAAAAACTGTACCAGAATCCTTAGGAATCTAAAAACTTTTTCACGCATTTTTATACTGTCCACTTATTAACAATGTAGAGGAACAGTGTATGAAAAATTCGATCAGAAAGTTGGAATAAACGAGAATGGTGCTCTTACCAGTTTGATAGAGCCGAACTTGCTCTACAACATCCACTAATTAGTTTTCTCCCCGATCTTGATTATGAAATAAACAACTGTCAAAACTATTTTAGGTTATAATTTTTCATCAAATTCTAGTGAATATATCGGTGAGATCTAATCAGATGGCTTGTTAACTATTTCAAAATCCACTGAGATTTGAAAGAATATGTTGATCTAATCATTTTGGTACTAAATTATCTAATGTTCGGTTCTATTTTCACAAAAAA